GTTAAAAAGAGGTCATTTTCTCCAAAGTCTCCTTTCCAGGGCAGTAACGACAACCCTTCAGAAGAATCTTTCTCAAACTTTGGATAGCTGAGCCACACCTTCTCACTCTCCGACCCGAGAATTAAAATCGGAGGTACATGCTAGTTTTACACCTTCCACAATTTAATTTTACTCAGAGGAGCCCCCTGGACCCCTTTGGCGGTTCTAAGCGATAAATCACAAATCTGAATTCTATTAAAGGCCGGATTTAATAACCCAAGCCGTCCAGTTGAAATCTAACCAAGGCTGGACCCGCTCTTGTTCTTTAGATCTGAAGTGTGACCAGGACAAAAGAATTATGTTGTGAAGGCAGAATTGGCTCATTGCTCTACATGGGTCCGTTCTGGAAGCTGTGGAGATTTAACAGCTGTCATATTTGGTGGGGGCATCTAACAGTGCCGCAGTTTGGGGGCAGCCGTGGTGATGCCTAAGTCTATTGCCGGTAGGGTTCCTCCAAGACTGGACATTGGGTCTGAGGTAGAAATTCAGCGGGGCCACAGGACAGGTGATATCTCTGAGAAGATGACATCGTGATTTCGGTCCGTCCTTTCCTCGAGGCTCACGCGGGTACCCAGAAGACGTGGCGATGTTGTGATCTGAAGGCCAAGCCTTCGCTGCTGTCGGTGTTGCTGAAGCATTTAAATGAATGCCAAAAAAAAAAGCACTCGAGGAGGCAGGAAATACAGTGTCCATCTAGAGAGTTGCATAGAAATGTCCAATGGCTCCCCCATGGCCTGGAAAAGCAGGCATGAAGGAGCGGAGCTGTTTGCCGTTGAGGAAGACAAGATAGGACGACGTTTGCCTTGATTGGATTTGTCCAGATTTGCACAGTTCAAAGACCCACTTTAAAGAGGAGAAACAATGCAGAACATCCCTAAAGATTCCTTTTCCAACATAGCTTTTGCTTATTCACCTAGGCTGTTGAGTTCCATCTTTCTTCCACCCCCACCCCCAAATCTATCATTCGTATCTGCAGCAGTTACCCTATTTTTCCGTGTATAAGACTATACTTTTGTCTAAAACCTTTAGACTAAAAATTGAGGGTCGTCTTATACAGGGAAGTAAGCTGCGGAGAGAACAAAAACAAGTGGAGGGGAAAGCAGGGATCAAAGTGATTCTGCAGGGCTTTGATCCCTTTCCCCCTACGCTTGCTAAGCCCCACTTTGATTTCTTAATTTTGGATTTAAAATGTGGGGGGTGTCTTATACATGGGGGTGTTTTATACACAAAAAATACGGTATCTAGAAATGCCTTTATAGGAGGACCTGTCCCTTCTCTGCTCTTCACTGGGATCTGGTGCGGGAGACCATGCTCCACTGGCATATTTTTGGAGCCTGGACTTCATGGTGTAACGCGAGGTGGATGGGAAAGTTCTTTAGATGGTCAAGAATATCAGTTCGAAAGGTGGCAAGCCAGTCCTGCTCTGTTTGGGACCCTATTTTGCTGAGAGTGACACTGAGGCCTCTTTTCAAATCCTGCCCTGATGATGCCCCTGGCTAGAGATCGGTGACCAGTTTTTGAAAGGAACTGAAGGTGACTTGAGAGAGGTAGGTTCCTATGGCTTCCATTTGTTTTGTTCTACTCTTGGTTTTGCGACAGGGCTGGGCAAGGCACGGCCCACGGGCTGCAGAAGACCCAAAATGTACCACCAGCCCTCCAAATATTGCCCTCCTCTTTGCTGCGAAAAGTTTATTTTAAACATGGGCTCTAAAATCCCTCTGTGCTTTGTCGGGGTGGTGGAAAGCAACGTTGCCATGTTTTAGGCGGTCCCTCCCAGCTGCTCTAATAAAAAATATTTGAAAGGGCAAGGGCTGTGGCCACAGTGGTGGCCCTCCAAGGAAGGGCCATGCACAATCCCAAAAGTTCTGGAGATTGCCCACCCTCCAGCAGAGCAAACCCTCAGGAACCGAGTCGGTAGTAGCCAGATCTTGGGCCCCTGGCCGAGGGGTCTCCAGGCAGAAATACAGATCTCAGGACAAGCCCTTCTGGAGGAGCACAAAGTTTGCTTCCTGGGGGCGAGGTGGCATGGGGTGCCCCTTTCCACCCGTTTCCAGCTGGCACCAGGGCTCAGCAAGGTGTCCAGAAGTGCATTGTGCTGACCACCAGCAGGGGAGGGCTTGAGAAAGCTCCCCATATTTGTGCTATAAGTTACGGTTGAACGGCACGCAAGCCCCAGCAGGAGGGGTGGCAGCAAAGACGGTGGCTGCTGGGTCCATGTTGGTGCCTGCCTGGCCACTACAACAATGGTGGTGTCCCCCAGACTTTGCAACCCACAGGTGAAACCACATGAATCTGGACTTTACTTGTACAGTATCCCAGAGAGGCCCTTCTTCCCCTGATCTTCTTCTCCACAGTCCATGGCGTGGAAGAGGATCCAGGTCTCCTTGCCCAAATTTTGCCAGCATCGCAAGGATTCTCCCTAACTCTGGGTACTGGGCGTTGTTGGTCTGGCAAGTCTACTTAGAAAATGCCCAGGTTCCGTCTTGCCTGTACCTTGAGTTCTTTTCCTAGAGGCCTTCCTCCATAGCCTCACCTGTCCCGCCTACAGTACTGTACGGTGACCATAACATGCAAAGGCTGTACTGGCCTGACTGCTGATGGGAGTCCCAGGTGGGGTTTCCCAAGTTTCATTCCCAATGGAGAGACAACTGCTTAAGGCCTTGGGGGGGGGGAGAATGAGAGAGAGAGAGAGAGAGAGAGAGGTTGCCTTCCGGACCAGAGATTTCTGGGTTTGCTGTGCCAAAGTCTGATTCCAAGCAGAGCTATGGCAGGTTGCTCGTTTGGGTCACAACTCTAGAATTTCCCAGGCAGCCTGCAACTCCCACAAACGCCCCAGCCATTGACCCTGCCAGTTGCAGAGATTTTTTTTGGGGGGGGGGGGGTTACACCCGGGGTGAAGGGCCCCGG